CCCCCCACCATGATCCACTGGGTCCTGGCCTGAATCCGTTCTTGCCTTTTTGCAGCAGTGCTGGGCACCAGAACTTCTAGTGCATTAAACAGATTCTTTAAAAACCTGTTACTAGTGTGCAGTTCAAATCAAACTTGCAGATATTTAAATGGCTCTTAATTCCTTAAAACCGTTAAGGTCGGTAACAAAACAGGAGAGCAAAATTTGAAACACACTGCACAAAACATTGAATAAATACCTTTGAGTAATGTTACCAGCTTAAACAACTGCATGAATGCTCCAGAGATGGGAACACTTCTGGAATCTCTCTGACCAGAGCTCCAGATTCCAGGTAGGTAGTTACTTCAGTAAAAGAAAAGTCACTTTATGAAAAATTACATCTTTACAAAAGTGACGCACCTTTCTTTGCTTTAAGCACAGAATACTGCAATTAGTGTGTGTGCTTTCAAACATTCGCATGTCACAATAAATAAAACCAGTTTTACTTGTGCCAGTGTTATCTATGAAAGAAAGTATTCACAGAACAGCTGAAGGTGTTCTATTCCTCATACACCACAACCTAATATAGGTGTATTCAGCAAACAGGGCGGCACTAAACCACGGCGACTTAATTTTGTCCGCACAGGACCCACCATCAGCCAGAAACATTATTCCCCTCCCTAAGGGGCTGCAGCTCATGTACCACCAGGTTTACTGTGGAGATGCTTAATATTCTGTTTGATAACTTGTCATTTGTTTCAGGAGATAAGTAAAACAAGGGAAAACATTAAAACAGATTAAGACTTATGTTTATCAGCCACAGGCTCCTTATTGCATTTTAATAAATATCAGGCAAGTTAAAGTAGTTTCTGTCCCAGTAGTTGCCAGAATAAAGCCAGTCCTGTGTACCAGTGTAGGGATTGGGGCCTTGATGGAACCATCTGTAAGAAAAAAAAAAAAATACAGCACGTTAGTGAAGTAACTACCACTCATTTTATAGAAGTTCAGAACTGCTTTGCTCTGTCTTCACTGGTTACTGTTCAAACTAATTATTGCGAGTGCAGGAACTCTCTTGGTTTTAAATTTCTAAGTGAATTTAAAGCCATCTTCAGTGGTTAGATTTTTCCCCTTCCTCCCTACCCCTTAAACGTCTCCTAGGTGAAGTTACTGACACCAGTATATTGTCACTTGAAGCAGCCAAGACCATCACATAGAAAGGACAGCTACAGTTTTACTTCAAAGCAGTTGTGAACAATCATTTTGGCATGCATAAGCAATAATGTTTTTTGCAAGACATGTGAACACCACAAGCACCAGAGTCCTGAAAACAGAGGAACATTATTTCCCCAGGATCTAGATTTCCCCTTGGTTGCAAAGTGCTAACCCAGAACAAGGGTGTCAGCTAGCTTCAGGGTAGGTGAAACATCACCCACAGGCCACAGGAAAGGTTCTTCCTCATTACAACCTGACTACGTCGTATTACACTGTCACACTGTGGGGCTATTTTAACGCCCAGAAGGTTGCTTCCATCTCCATTGAGTTTCTTGCAAACTTCTGCTCAGCTGGTTGTTGCTAGAAATACTGAAGTTTAGCACCCTCTTTCTTTCCTTCCCTCTCCCCTTCTCCCTAATCTGGAAGCACTGTGCGTACACACTCGGTATGCCTGCAGTATATAGCACTTACTAGATACAGCCTTCTGTTTGGACCCAGTTACTTCTGCCTTACAACAATAACATTTTGCACAACACTGACCCTCTGTAGCAGTTTTAACTTTCTGCTGCATTTTGCCAAGCTGTGCTCATGGGACAAGTCAGCTTGCTGTATGCTCTTTCTGTGGTTAATACGCTCCACAGCTTCCTTTCAGCTCTTCACTGGCTGCAGGAGCCAGTTCTTGCTTTGTACACCTTGCGGCAGTGAACACCACGCTCACTTAAGTCATCCTTATGCAAGACTGTCCATTTTAACTTCCCCTCCAGGATACCATAATGTTTCAGCACAGAAACTACAGCACATCAGAACCAAATCTGACTTGGCTGGTTCAAAATATTTGAGATGCGTATCACGAGTCATGCCTTGTACTATCTTCACTATGATAAACTGAACGGTCAAACACCTCAGCAGTTCAGCTGGCCACGTTACCTGGGTCGAAGTGAACCCGTTGTGTTGTACGTGGTACACTACTACCGTACCACCACCAGAGAGGATGCAAATCTACAGTGTGTCACATTCAGAAGCAACTGCTCTGTGTGTGTTTTCTAGTACACGTCCTAGTTCACAGGTAACAGCGGTTTACTCTAGAGCAAGAGCCAAGCCGTCCTGCATTTGCTGAGAGGTAAGGGTATACAGATACCTCATCTCTCAGGTAAAGCACTTCTACCCCTTGTAACTCACTGGCATGTCTTTAGCACGCTTACAGGGCAGGAGAATGTTCCCCTCCTCCAGAGAAGCTACTACTTCTACAGGAAAGGGAAAGGCAACAGAAGAATTGAGCGAGTGACCCAGGAGACCCAAGCAATCAAATAAGCACCCAGGTAAGCAAGGGGGAGAAAGACGACTGCTGTTCGTCCCAAACGCCAGACTGCTGCTGTGTTTCAGAACAGGCTCTTACTCAAAAGAGCCTCTGAGACTACTGCTCAGTCTCACTGAAACACATCAAATGCACAACATGAACCACTTCAGAAATACCAAGATCCCACTTCTGAAGTGCCTAAAAATCTAGATTTCAAAATAAACAAACAAATAAACAAATTACTAGGCACTTTTGAGAATTGCATCTTGTGAGGGAGGAACACTACTAGAGAGTAAGGCGCATGCTTTTCTACGTCAAGGAAATCTAAGAGTTTACATCAGAGATTATATCACAGCAGATTAAGAACTCAGCTGAAGAGTTCCCCTTCCAAGTATGGATTTTTTTCAAGCACAATTCTTTATGCTTAAATGGAAAGGAACCTTTTCTATATTCTCTACTTCATCCTTCAGAAGCAGTCAGACTTGGCATTGCTATTAAGGACATGAGATACTAGGAAGTTTCTGTCACAGCTTTAGAAAGACACTGGAAAAGAAGGAGTTCTTCAAGGATGCTGGTATGCGGTAGGCAGGTCTGCAGTTCATGAACAGACTATTTATGTAGTAACTATACTATTAATACCAACTGAAGAACCTTATAAGTGGTGTTTTAACTAGTTATAGCCCCTGTAGCCATTGCTCCAAATTGCCCTCTGGAAGTTCCCCCAATTCCCTTTAATACAGCACTCATGCATACTTTTCACTAGCTTTGAACTATACCTTAAGGGCTTCAGACACATGGAAGAACATGGTATGACTATCCCTTGCTTTGAAAGTACTTGATGAGAGCTAGGAACAAAGTACATAGGCCTCTGAATTAAGGCAAGGAAAAGCGAGGGGCAAGGCTGCTCAGTACTTAACGTGTTTACCCAAAATTACTGAAAGTGTTATTTTGTGCCAGTCTCAGGGCAAACAAACCCAAACACTTCAGGAGAGCAAGCACAGGAAAAGACACAAAGTCAGACACATCCAAACCTGGGACTCTGGCCTGATGGGTGACTTCGTTTGAAAAAAAGAAAAAAGTGATTTATAGTTACAAATAGACATTATAAAGACATTTAATCCACAGCGTCTGGGTGTACTAATAACAAGTTCATAGGGAAGAGAAAGTTTCTGTAAAGAGACTGCTAATTGCTATGCAGTTAAACAGACTGTGTCCGGTCAAACCAGATGCATTTTGTAACATATTGCAAGGATTCTATTTAGCTTGTTGTTTTTAAGTGCCTCCAACTTTCTTCCCCCATCTTTTAAATAAAATAAATAAAAGTCCTGGCAAAACTCTTGCAAGCTAATTTTTCCCTTAGCTTTTCTTATTTTTTGTAGTTAGTTTCTCCTCTCAGGGAAAGGAGAAAACTGCTTGGCTATCTAGGCAATAAAGCCATTTCACCAACTTTGAAAGTAACCACGTGCAACGGGAATACAGTATTACCAGCACACACGCACACACTGACTTGGGAAGTCATGGGCAATAACCTATCAATTTCCCTGGAGGAATCATTTCCTCCTCCCCTTTGGCCAGGTATATAAATTTAGGTCTGTCATAAATTAATCACCAGCAATAAGAGTCCTTGCAAGCAGTTATCAGTGGCAACATCTTTTTCTGGATGGAACTGAGAGGTGCTCAGCAGAGACAACACAGCTCGTGTTTGAACACGGGCGTGCAAACAGCGAGAGGGAAGGAACAGACCGACTGAGCCTAATCCTTCTCTCTGGAAGTGCTACAGCCTGCACTGACCAAGTCTGCAAATACAACAGCAGCACCACCAAATCTGCTGATGTTTTCAGCTTTTCATGCTGACACGATAGTGCGTATCACTTAGGTGGACTGACAATTAACCTGAATGTTCAAAGTCTTTTGAATATATAACTACATACACCTACAGGCAGATACACTAACCTCGTCTTCCAGTCTTCCTCTGACTTGGAACGATTTTTGCGAGCAGTTCTCTGTTTTTCTTCTAGCCTCTTCTTTTCTTCACTAGCTAGATCTTAAAGGGATAAAAAAAAAAAAAAAAAGGCCTTAAGGGTAATATAGGACAGAGATATCTACTTCATCTGACCCAGCAAACAAACAAGGGAAGCAGTGAAAGTTGTTCAAAGTCGTTCATTTAAAGAGGGTCTCCCACATAACATAAAAGCACTTCTATTTTAGTCTAAAAGCCAATCCAGCTGCAGCACAACAGCCAAGGAAATTCTAACTTCTAAATGCGTTTAGCCACGGCCTGAGGACCCTGAAAACATGTTTTCTTCACAGCAAACGTGAGTTAGGGGACATGACACATCTAGGATTTCTTTCAACAGGGAAACTGATTAAGACATGACGCTGGATTCAATTCAAGAGTTAGGCCATCAACTTCTTTTTAAGTCTTGGGTAAGGTCTTACTAGTGACTAGTTTCTCATCTAGAGGGATTTGGAATATTCAATTCCAAATCATAAAGAACTGTCTTTTTGCAACATCTCTACATTTTCGTTTTTTTGTTAAGCCACTAAGATAGCATGGGCCGTTGTCCGTAACACGCAGAACAGTCGCTTATGTTTGGCAGAAAGGACACTCTCATTCTTCAGATGTTCTGAAGGAAAAGGCAAGTCATACCAAGAAGCAAGTTAGATTAAGGACAGCATCTTTCATGCTTGAATTCTGAATCGTGAATGGCTTAGGAAGAAGTAGTTGGGAGAATCATTTTTGGAAGACTATCAGCTGTTCCCACTTATCCTACTAGCTACTGACATGCCACATATGTACCAGTGTATCTGCTAGACAGTATCTATGCTGCTATTACAGTTATGGAATATAGTCTGCCGCTAAAGGCATAGTTACTGCACTCCAAGTTTAGACACGCAAGTCACTGAGAATGCCATCAACCAAGTACGTCCATCCCACTGGCCACAAAACAATCCTATATACAGGAGACACTGGTTGGGTGAATTCATCTGCTTTATTTTATTTTTTTCAGTCTTAGGGAAGTGGTCGTCAGCTTTTGTAAAAAAAAAAAAAAAACAAAAAACCCAAATCCTTCACAAGCACGACTACATGCTATTATGCCTGCACCTGTGTTTTATATCTAGATCTCAGACTATTTATCAGACATAGTCAGAAATCACAGAAATTGGTGAAATAGAATCAGAGGTTTCCTGACTTACACAGATCACTTAAGTAAACCAGAGAAACTAACAGCCTCCATGCTTTTGGTCTACAAACAAGGCCATCCTGTTTTATAAGCAAAATGCCAACAAGAAATAGAGGAGCAAAAAAAAAATGGCCAGGGCAGGGGTGTTCCACACAATTGTTCATAAAACTTTACTGCTCTCAAGTCAGCTGCTACATATCAAAGCATTCAACAGTAAGTTCATACCAAAAGGCTCTAGAAGGCACTTTTACTCTACGGAATCTACCGTAACAATGCCTACAGGGTTTCTAAACAGCATACAATTTCTACTCATTTAAAGTCTCACAGTGCTTTCTAATTCGCTATTCTAGGACAACAGAAATATTCAGCTGCCAGTGAAAAATAAATTTGCATCAGGCATCTTTTGTCACTGCAGTTCCACTTAGTTTTGACAGAACTAGCACATCAAAACACTTTTGCATTGGCTGGTGGAAACAGAAAAATGAGAAGTTCACAAACACTTTCGATACTCAGAGCTTGCTGTCTCCTTAGATAAGCTTCCAATTATAAGGCTTGACTACGCAGCACAGCAAAGGGGCTTAAAAGCAAGTAAAAATCACATCCTCTTGAAGTTTTAAAGATTCTTGCTTACATGGAGAACAGAAGTAGGCAGGTAACATACCTTTCACTAGAAGCATACCATAACATGTGAAGGCTGTGTTTAGGTTACTGTCTGGTAGTACGAAGGAACACATCTTTATAGGTTGCTTACTCACTCTAACATTCCTCCAGCAATTTGAGAGTGGAATTTTTTAATTTCCATTTTTCCAGTTCCTCAGCTTGGAAAAATAAAACACCTTTGCATATAACTGAAATTACCTATTTCACCATTCTCCATGGCTCTGATATCTGGTCGTAGCCGGCAGTCAGTTTTGGGAATGATACTCTCCATTTCTTTGTCTAACTCATTCAAAGCCATAGCAAAGCTAGTAAAATTGTACATCTGAAAGAGACAAAGGTAAAGGGTGACTTTATAAGAAAGTCTTTAGCTGCTAGTTTTAATATACAGCCAAGCAGCATTCTAAAAACAAATATCCAGGTGCTTTTATGGTTATTTTTAATCACTCAAGATAGGAATACTAAAGAAGCAGGCAAAACTGCAGCAGGACAGCGTAGGTGATCCTTAGTGTTTCTGTTTAATCGGGACAGCATCCAATTACTCAGTGCAGTATTTCTATCTTTTTTTTTCCAGTCCTACTAGCATTTTCCCTACCATTCCTACTGAGGCATTTCCCCCTTGAGGAACCTGCTGAAGGCACTTTTTCTTGTTCCAGTTCTAGGTCTTTCCAGCTGCACAAGCATCCTTGCACTCTGCCCAATGGCTCCCCAGCTCCATGGCCCTTCACAGACCAACTTATGCTATGCAGGTTTTGCGAGCTCTGTAAGAGCTCACACCTCCTAGGAAGCGTCTGTCCTAAAATAAAGCCCTTCAAAAGGGATTTCTCACACAGCAAGTGCTTCAGTTGGGGGAGGAGGGTGAGGAGGCAGCGAAATCCCCTGCACCACTAGCTACATGAAGCATTCAATTTTGCAGAGAAATTCAGCTAATTAGAAAGAGGTCGTGCTCGTCCATTATTTCTACAACTCCACCTTACCTGGTTACAATAGAAAGTTTGTTGCAGTACACCGGTAAATCCAGATTTGTCAACGAAAAGGAAGACAAAGGGATTTGCTTTGTGTTGAACACGCAAACTGACAGGATAGCATGCATTTTCAAGAAGCAGAAGCAATAGCTGACCTGAGCTGAATTTGGAGGTCTTGGCGTTATCCTCCAGAGCAAAATACTTCCAGGAATAACATACACGCTCTCAGAATCTGGCAACGGCATCTCATCTGGTTCCTCAGTATTGCCCACCTAAAAGCAGAACACGCCAAATGGAAAGAGTTATTTGGAGTCGTAAGCCATTTGAATCCATTCACTCCAATGCCGAGACTTCAGTAAAATTACTTCCATGACCAAAGTAAATAATTTCAGTAGCACAGGAACTTTTCTACGTGCTCATCAAGATTAAAATATAGTCCCCAAATCCCTCCCAAGGGAAGTCTACCAGTTTCTTGCATCAGTGTCTTCGTAGATAAAAAGAGATGTCCTAGAGTTAAGAAATGGGCAATTTTCCCATCACATAAGGATCTCCTCAAACATACACATACTCCTGCCTCATATTTAACTCCACTACTGCTTGATGTAAGCTGAAGAATTCCTTTTCCTTCCACATTAAAGAAAAAATGGCACATAAAGCAGGTGCTGTCATCAGCTTGTGCAAGGTGAAAGGGACTATCCTACTGCTCTTTGCTCAGAGGAATCTTCATTTCCACTGACCACTACATTACTGAAATGGCAAACTGCAAATGTGTTAAATGGATAGTCTAAATCTGCCACTTCTTCTGGGAAGAGTATCCTGTAAGGGCTGAAATACATTGCCTGAGGCAACCATAAACTGTTGAATGGCTTTCCCAGAAAGGGAGCAACTCCTTCAGCCAGGATTACTACAGCAGGAGAGAATAACTGGTGGCCACAGTGTGGAAGTGACTGAAGCTAGATCTAAACTATTATGCTTTTAACAAACTCCTCTGGAACAACCGAGGTCCAAAACTGCTGATTTTAGATCAGCCACAAAGAGTTTGTTACAATGCTGAACTAAGGCCAGCTAAACAATGAGTAAGACCTCTCTCAAGAAAATCTGGTATCATTATCATAGTTAAACAGCAGCACATTTAGAGACTGTTGGAGAGCAGAGCTGAATTTAAAGGCCACTAATGAACCCAATTGCTTTAAATAGTTTGGCTACATGCCAGCAGCTTTAACCACGCTGCTAATAAGCTTTGCTCTCCGATGGTTGCGTCAGATAATACAGACTGATGTTTTTGTACAAAGTAGTCCAGTACCCAGAACAGAACTCAGTTGTATTCTGAGATGATTCATGTGTTACAGCTTCTAGAAAGTCAGGAGGAAGTAAGAATTCTGTCTCGCTGTGGAGCACCTGGATTTGGTTGTTTTAAGAGCGAACCAGTTGCAAAGGAACCAGAAAAAACACACAGACCAGGGGTTCAGTCCCTCAGCTATTAAGAAACTAAACAAGGCTTTTAGATAACTACATCTGAGCTGTGCTAGTAACCTGGCATTCTGACCTTTAATGGATGCTAATTAATCCATAAGAAATCAGGATTCGAGGAAAAACACACATCAGAAAGGTACCCCTACATTAAAACAAAGACACCTCAACGGCAGTGCCAAACTCAAGACCAAGTTTTTTAAAAGACTACAACACACGCTGTAGTTTTTGTCTTGTTTGATATAATCTGAGATGTCACAAGAACTGCAAAGAGCTAAAACCAGGATTTTAACACGCTCTTGCCAAAAGCTACATAATTTACACTCACCACTACTAAACGTCTCTCCGTTTCTAAGAGTAGTAACATACTTTGCTATAGCAAGACCTCTGGTGCCTGTAACTCTGCATATGGGAGGGCAACGGCTGACAGCTCCTCTGTGTATTTGCACTGGAAGTTTGGCATGAAATGCTTTATCTTAAATCAAAAAATGTCTCTAGTTCCATCAGAGCTGAATCAATGTGGTATAGCCCCAGGCCTACTGTAACTCTGTCAAGAGGTTGGTAAAATATCTACCTTTGAATATATGAAGGTTTGTCTAGCATCCTGCAAGATTATATTTCCAAAAGCTTAATCCATACAAAAGTCAAAGGGATTTGGGGGAAGAGGCTGCAATGATTTGCAAAAGGATTCACATCTAAGAAGGTCCCCTAAAGGGAGGCAGAAGTGAGCCTGCATTAGCAGCAATACAGCAAAAAGTAATAGTGGAAGACAACTAAAGAATAATCAGAATAATTAGGAGAAACTTGAAAGGCCATGTACTTTCACGCCTGAATGACTGCTTCATTACTGTGAAGGGACAAAGCACATCCAGACATTACACGTGAGACTTGGGTCACTTAAAAGCTTACAAATCATAAGCAATATCAGCTCCTCAAACACAAGGGGGCGTGGGGATATACGTTCAGAGAAAGACTAGCCCATTTAGAGCGGCAATGCAAAGCTTTAAGCCTCCTACACAGAAATAGTTCAGTTAAATGAGCAGAAAAAGCATGCTTTACTACAGTCAGAGCAACATGCAACTTGAGCTTTATGAAGAAGGGTGCTTCGATCTGAATTGAAAAGCAAGGGTAGTCTTAAACTTCAGAGAAAGCCAAGTGATGGTTCAACTATAACAAAGACACAGGGTATGTTTTTTCTTTGCTCCTTCTCCCTAGAGCTCACAGGGGCAAACTCAAAGAGAAGCTGTAATCTCCAGTGCTTTAGCACTCTCCTGATGACAAGCACTGAAGCAATCTCAGATACAGCAACAATCTGAATCTGCACAGGAACAACTGCTTTTAGAGTGGCTGTTTTGTTTTTTTTTTTTTTTAATAATGTAAATAGCTTTACTTGAACAAAAAAAAAAATCTGTCTTCAGTCACTGAAGGCATACAATAACTCTTTTAAGTTACAGGAAGTGGTTGTTCTTCACCTGGCTGTTATGTTGTTACCACCACCATTCACCTTAAATAGAAAGCATACTGCTATTAGAAATCTGGAAGAATTAAGAATTTTTTTCTTTTTTTTCCAGCAAGAAATAATTGCCCTTGTGAAAAGGCAGCATGTTGACAGTGGTGGCAATGTAATAAAGAAAAATAAAAGGTTTATTCTAAAATCTGCAGAATAAGATCTTTCATCAAGATAGAAATACAGGAGTCCAAATCCTTCTACTGGAATATACATATTATCATACATAATCAGAATCATGGTTCCATTAATATATATATGTCATTTCCTCCAGGTGACTTGGCATGAAGAGGCAGCAACTCGGCAGTAGACAGGTGAGGAACAACCAGCCAGTGGTTAGACTGCACCAAGTTTTGGAAAGTTCGAATACAAATCCTTGAAAGACCCAGCATGTTATGCCTTAATACCGGTACTCATTCAATCCACTTTTGAATCCTACTAGGCAAGAGACAGTAAGTGAAAAAGTAAGCTTTAATGCACTTAAGTGCTGTTAAAATATTTAGTTGTCCTATCACGCTTTTGAGATACTATATCTTTACGTGATTAATACCTGTTTACTGCTTTTCTTCTCTTCCGCGTTTTTCTTGTCATTTTTTTTGTAAGCCTCGAATGTAGCTGTGTCAACACTGTATAAGCACTCAGTCCACTTCCCATACAGCGCACAGAGTTTCTTCTTGCTGTCAAAAAAGACTAAGTTTACGAAAAAGCTTAAGCAGATTTATTTCAGCATTTCAAACATATTTGAAAGAATAACTTTTGAGAACAACTCGTAAACTTACATTAATGGCGTTATGCAAGTTATAACCTTCCTGTTTTAGGTTCATGCCTTTGATGCACTGTTAACAGCGTTCAGTTCTACAGACCCCATTAGAAACTGAGCACAGCAACTTGTTTCCTACAAGGAATGAATCTTACCTTTTGTCTTGAATGTAGCCTTCAACTTTGTGCAACTCCTTCCCAAAGAGGCCACAGGGCTTGAAGCTTAAAACACATTTCTCACCAGTTCTAAAAGCAGAACAAGAAAATACTAACTATTTCCGAATGATTTTTCCTTTTAAATTCCCAGCAAGTGAATGCACGCACATTCTTAACTTACTTGTGGTTAGTTATTTCCACATTTCCATACTGCTCAATCCAAAGTTTGCCTACAATAATGTTATGCACACAGCAAGTAGGATTTGTCCATGTGTAGGCTTCATTGTGTCTAGAGGGAGAGAGAAAAAATAAAATACTCTATCTTTGTACTGAATGGCACTGCTAAAACAAACGGTCTTCTATAAAGGGCACCAAGTCTTGAAAGGGACATGGCAATAAGCCAGGAAAACTCAAGGAGTTTATTAACTGTGCCTGGTGAGCAAGGGATACTGCTACTGATTTTATCAATTCCTTAAAACAGCAGCCTCAGTGCTGCCAGTCTCTGCTGGCACTGAATCACACCAGGAAAGTCAACAGGCTCAAGTGTGCTAAGTCACTGTAGGACTGGATGTCCAGGCCTCTGCAGAACATACAGCCACATGCATCAACTACTGCTACAATGATAGTTCGTACAGATTACTAAACAGAAAATTTATTAGTACGCAGTATATTAGACTGAATGATAGCAGTTCCCATTTTCTCATCTCCTCCTCCCTGCAAAGTGATCTACCGTCAAACATTAGGATGTGGCTGTTAGACAAGTCCCCTGAGAATGTAACGTGCACTAATCGTTAGGGACGTGGCCACTGTGCCTATACAATTATCACCTATCAACTTACTCCAGAAGCTCCAAAGTCATCGTGCCTTTTGGTTCTGCTTCCACACTCTTGCCCCAGAATTTGAGTTTAGGATAGATTGATCCATGAAACACAAAATCATTATTTAAACCTTCAGCATAGAAAGCACTGATTGGAGGATGATGGCTAACTTGTTCCGAGAGAAGTCTAAATCCAAGATCATCTCTGCAAAATAAAATTTAAAAAAAGATACTAATTTGTGTTCTGAAGATACAAAATAAAAAAGACTGGAAGCATATATCTAATTATCAAGTGAAGCTGAATTTGTAGCTCTTTTCCCCCAGTGTGAAACAACCGTGCAAGAGCTAGTTAAAACACTACAGTAACACAAAAGAGACAGATTAACTAATACATATAACATTCTAATTCTAAGAAATGGAGGACATGTAAAAAGATAGAAAGAGCAACCAAAACTTATTAGCTAATATGTTTACTTGTGATGGTGAACTCACACTTTCGCATAATCACAGGCCAAAACCTCACTTGTCTGAGAGAAGAATTTCCCCTAAATGCAGTTGCAGACACTAACACCAACTATTCATACTCTGGACACTCATATAATGAATATTACAACTCTACCACCTCCTTGATACGTAGCGCACATCCTCTCATTTGGGTTTTGAGAAAAAAAGTCATTTTTGTAAATAAAGTTTGATTTTAAAAGCATGTTAAAGCCTGCTCTGTGTTGGAAAGCTAAACTGTTTCCCTCACTAAGGGTCACTGAAACACCAACACCACCTTTCCTAGCAGCTGCAGGATGTATTTGCAAATGGATGGATTCTTTCAAGCCAAAGAGCAGTTTGCAAGCCGCAACCCGTTATGTAGAATATCACCCTCTATTCTTCAGTGCACCTTCTATTCATTACCTGATTAATTCATACGTCTCTCCAAGCAGTGGGTTGAATGGCTTCCCTGTACGTTCCCACTGTGAGGCTACAGCAGACACAGCAAACGCAGCGACACACTATTCAAACAAACAGGAGTATACAGTTAACTCTCCTGGATTTTAGTCTTTGTCAGATATCAATAGCGGCAATGGTATTACAGAACGTTATTCCTCTACCGTCTGAGGAAGTGTAGGTTTCTTCTTCCCCCTTTTTTTTTTTTTTTAAAGCCAAGGGAGAGGCATCAATAGGTTTCATCAAAAGGCTAAAAAAGCAAGTCTTAGAAAGAGCACAACACTCCTAGATAAGCCAAACTGGTTAACAAATTAACAGGAGAATGTGACATGCAGCAGTTTACAGGACTTCCTTCTAAAATGAGAGTTTATCTATGAAGATGAAAATCTAAATACTTTCAGGAAGAGCTAATACAAATTGTCACACACAAAATACCTGCATTCGCTCAGTCGTACTAGAAAGCGAGCTGGCTTTGTGGATGAGGTACGTATGCTCCATATATTCTGTAAGTCGCTGCAGAAAGCTCAGTGGCTCATTGAATATGACCGGCATTGTGATCTTGGACAGCTCCTGATGCACAAATGAAATTTGTGTTAAAAACCAAATGATTAGATACCCTGACCTACAGTAACCCAAACGTAATTGGCTTATTACAAAAATAAATTATGCTCTTAGCGCTAATGCAACGTGCTTGACCTGGCACTGCTAATGCTGCAAGGGAAAAACCCTCTACATCCCTTATGAGCTTGATAAGCCTATCTATATTGACATTAAGGCTACTTTGTTTCAAATGAAAAGAAAAATCAAACATCAAACAAATTTCCTACTGACAAACGCGTTAAGAAGGTGAGATGAAACAATGAAATGAAGTATTAAGGACCCTTTTACAAACTAAGTTATTTATTACTCTTAAAATAGAGATAGGCCACCTAATTACTTAAACATCGTCTTTGGAGGCAAGCAGGCAGAAGAAGGAAGAGTAAGGATGGGGGAAGGTTGCAGCACAGGAGCATAAAGCAAGAATTTTATATTCTGAAGGAAAAAAATAATCTTTTAACAAGAATGCAAGTTAAAGAAGTCCTGCAGTTGTTTTGCTGCTGTTTATTTTCTTTCCTGTTTTTAAAAAGCATGCCCTCTGAATGTTTAATGCTGCAGCGTCTTCAACTGCCTGCATTAGCAAATCAAAAGCGTAGTATGGCCACGGGCAACCTGCTGAGTAGACGAGACTGTTTTTAACCATTACTGCAGCACCTGATACTAACAGCTTTGACAGATACTTCAGTACAATCCTTCCCCTGCCCCGTCCCCAAATTGCTACTTCTGTGCAACCATTTCTGCATATCAGAATGATTACTAAATACACATTCCCCTCTGTATGTTAGTGTTACAGGACGATGGAGGCTTACCAGCAGTAAATACTTTCAGCCTATTATAGGATCTAAGGGAGAGAGGAATTCTTCTCAGTTCACCCTTAGCTGGAAGCAGATGAAGTACCAACCAACTAACCTCTCTGATCTGCCCACCGTCTGGCCAGTAACACTGCTGAAATACTTGGGGGGAAGGGCAAAGAAAACTGAAAGTTTCCGTTCTTGGAGCCAAAATACAAATTTTTGCTACTACAAAGTGATTCAAGGGTTGAATTCAAGAGAAAGTGTCTTTACTCAACCAACGTTGCCCTGACCAAGTCTTACCTTCCTGTGTTATGAAAGCAAACAGAAGCAAAAGAAGGAGATTAACCCCGTCCCCAAACACACACACACACACACACACTTTCATTTGGGCCTCAAATGAAACAGAGTATCTCAAGTCTTTTATCATAGCTTTCTATTACCTACCATTCCAATACATTTTCTTAAGATACTCCAAATACTGAAGTCATTTCTGGAAAACATTGGGGATGGCAAGCTTGTTCTGTGGAAAGGAAGGGGGAAGAGAGGAAGGAAGGAGAAAAAAAGTCTTCCATTACTACGCATGACAGAAAAACTCAAATACTCTTTTCTGAAATTAACAGTTTTCCTAGTCATCCAGTAAAGTCAGATCACCCTTATCAAGCAAAAGCAGCACTGGGAAGCTTTCATTACAAATACCAACCTTATTTAAAATTAATCTTAGTTATTTTTTAATTTAAAATTATAATGAAATTAATTTAAAATTAAAATCCAAGGGGGAACGACACAGTGCTGCTTTGAAGCATTTAACTCTTTTACCTACAAAGAAAATTGAATTTCTCCACGAACAGTACCAGAACCACCTGTTCCTCCTGCTTGAGAGCAAAGAGAATTTCTATATCCGTTACCAGAACGCTGTCCGCATGACGGCATCACTGAAACATTGCGTTGTGTTTTTCTGAGAGAAACTGAGTGCTTTCGAGTCATGTTTGTGAAAGACACTGTAGGTGGGCTCACTGCATCTGAACAGATCTGAAGGTTAAAGAGTTGGAGGTTTTTGCTAGTCACCTGTATACTGGCTTAAGGTCCTTGACATTTATGGCCTGCAATTAAAATCAACTCTTTGGAAAAAACAGAAAAAGCAGCATCGTTAGAGAACAGGAAACAGTGCAGCCTGTTCTACGGAGGGCTGACATCTACTGAAGCAAGTTTTAAATACACTTTTAAGACCAACATTTAGGCCACGTCTGTACTTCTCAGCGTTACATGAAGTCAGGCACGTATTTTGCTGAGTTTTCTTACTACTATTGACCAGCTGAACTATTAATCCAATTTACCGATAGATAGGCATAAATGTAGCTTAAAGCTCTTTGTCCATAACAACACTAAAGTCACTGTACCATAAAGCTAATACCAATGAGGAAAACTGAGAATTACCTAAGGCTCAGACTGCTCAAACTATTTATTGCATTTCAAAGTTTAGTTAACTCTGCCTAAACAACCGGCTCCCCTAACCAAGGAGGTCCTGTCCCTCCACAACAGTTAAAGCAATAATTAAAGAGCTACAGTCTGAATAGGGGGGTGTAGTCTCCTCCATCCCACTTTTCTGATAAATAAACAGATGCTGCAAAGAGGAGAATCTATTCAGGCTAAGTAGTTTCTTTCAGGAGCTTTATTTGCTGCCACCTCTCATGGTTTTTTTTAATATTAGAAATACCATTACCAGAGCTCATCCTTTAGTTTTCAGAAGGAGCGAACAAAAAAAGCTCTTTAAAATGCCATGAGCCCCATTCAGTCAAAAATCTAGTCACACGTCTGAATTCCTCAGTGTAACAAACTACGTTGCGTCTTATCGGCTAACAGCCGAATACTGACTCGTCTTACTCAGCTCCCATGCTGGGGACGGGTGGGGAGGAGGAGGAGTTATTTTAATTGATCCATGGGCTATCACTTGTTCTCTATTATAATTTGCAGTAATACAGAAGTGTGGAGTGAACCAGATAAGCCTGAATAACATTGAGCATAAACAGCACTTCTGTGGATGCTTTGATACTAACGTCCAGGAGAGGACAGTGTCCCCCCAGTATTTAGTCTTACCCTTTCCATTTGTAGTGTTTGCTTATTTTTTCTGTGTATTCTTTAACGAAGGCAGTTTGCTGAGCGGCCATTTATTTGTTTACAAATGAGAGCTTCTGTACGGAAAAGGCTCTCACATACCTCTGGTTTGCTGATGTGTACATAGGGATCATTTTTCTTAAATATGAAAATTTACGTTTTCACTAAAGTTAACCCATTCTTCCATGCAATTCTTTTAACTACATGAAAACTGGCATTCAGTTTAAGCCATTCATCTACATTTCCTACATATGAATGCATAAGCCGAACCTGCAGGGAAAGTCAGTTCTTTCCTCCATATTAGACACTCACGCTGAAGAAACAATTTCAAACCAGCAAAAAGGATCCTGGGGACAAGTAAGGACATGCGGAAAATGACAGGCAGCCAAGACTTGAGGCATACTAACCTTGACACAGTCCCTGAGATCAAGGGAAAGGTTGGTGGATACAAAAATTTCTTTCCAGATGTCAATTTTAGAAGCAACTCAGGAAGTTTATTTTAGCTTTAAGTGACAAAAACATCTGCTGGAATTTACTTGCAGTAGAGCAGATAAGATGTGTTTAACACCATTCACTTAAAAGCAAAAATACTTGTCCAAAATGCGTATCTACAGCAGGGTAATCATTGCATTGATCTTGTGGGGAATACGTGGGGACTAGACGTGGCATAAAAGTGCCATGTTCAGCTTGCTCTTCATGTGTACCTGACCAAGTAACCTCCCACCCCGCAAATCTCAAACACGCACATTTGCATTTTGAAAGGCCCCTGAGAAAGGGAAAGCTGACTACAAAGAAATTCAGCAATAAAAAAAGGGAAACAGCGGTGACAAAACAGATGTTAAAATACATACTGGCAGGTATTATAGAACATTTTTGTGCATTCTTTAAAATGTTTGGCTCAAATTCAAAACTTTCCTCTAAATAAAAATAAAAATTTAAAAATTAAAAAAATAAGAAAATCATCACAATTGGAACGCTTCCAGACTAGCTATTTTATAGACTATTCTCTTATTTCTTGAAATCCCCCATAAAATTTTCAATATTATAAAGTCCACTCTCACATCGGCCTAAAACCACAGCAAATCAAGCCACCTACATTCTTTCAAGCATCCTATGATCGATCAGCAGGGCGCAAATGAGGTTAATAAACCAGTACTAGAGAGCAGATTGGCATTTTCACGTCACGGCTACCGCGACTCACCTCGAAAGTTTAAAAAGCGAATAGACTGATGAAAGCCAGTTTTCAAATCTCCACCGACACCACGTTGGCAACATATTTAATATTCTTCATGGGCACTAGCTTCACCTGCCTTATGTCCCACCACTTCTACTTCCTTAGATCCAACAGACCGATTCTTACTGTTCTTACCAAAAACCAGAGCCCCTACATTCACCTCTGTGTGCCTGGCCCTTATCACTCAAAAAGGACAGGCAGACGACAGCTTGGACTTTCTGGACCAAGTAGGAAGAAGAGGCTTGTTTACGCTGGCTGGTAACTGTCAGGAACTTACACGTGCAATCTGAATGCTGCTGCAAAACCTCTATTCATCTGAGGAAGTACAAGAAGGTATCAAGATTTTAAGCAAAAGACAGTACTCTGGTCTGCTCTAAGTGACTTGCTTCCATGTGGCTAATGAGAGGAAGTTAAACAATAAACAAACAAGAAGCTATAACAAACCCAAGAGTACAGAATGAAATTAAGCGCTGACAAAATATTCTGACCCCTTCATGTTGCACGGCATCAAGTGAAGGCGTCTATTCTGAGGAGGACAAATAGGGTACCATAGAAGATGCATATTTGACTTAAGTGCTCTCTAACTAACCCAAAACAGGCCAAAATTAGAGCCACCAGCAGCTCCAGTTAGGTAACACAGCTCCCAGAGTCAGCTGCAGACCTGCAGTTGCAGCCACTAGTTGCAGCAATCAGATGTGGCAAACAAATCCCACATCAGGATACGAACATCACTGCCGCCAAGAGTCTTAGCAACAAAGCTAGAAACGTCGTGCAACTCCCATCCCCCGAGAAGGTTCTCTTAGAGGTAAAATTTAAATTGGCAGACCTCTGGGAAAACACAGTTTGCATCAATATATTTGCACACAAATCCCAAAGTGTCGCGAAGGTGCTCAGTAAAACCTCGGCATTACAGCTCAACCTAAAACGTGCCCTAGCCGTTCACTCATCTAAAATGTGACCATATGTTCTTATGTATTTTTATATATACAGTTATGTTCCAACTTCCTTTAGGACTACGCTAGAATTTAAACTATTAGCCAGATGATTTACGGACTAGTTTTACTTCAGTGTCTTTCTTTAACAATCACATGCAACTTAAAGAGAGACAGCTTACTGAGAGTCACTTAATTACTTCTCATTCCCCCTTACAAAAATAGTGGATTTAAAACGCTCCTCCAGTCACCCGCTCATTACAATTCTGACACCACAGTTAGCACAGTGTTATGGAAACTAGCCAAGCTGCTGCTTCCTTACACTAAATAGAAGATGAACTGTGCTAAAAACGTTTCAGAAAATGTATGTCACAACACGCGTTACCTTCATTTATGCTGTTCAAGAATTGCTTCCCTTTTCTTCCTTGATTCCCCAGCAACGAATGCAATTCAGATGTCCACCTTCACCTAGTGCTTTCCCTCCCTAAACTCCTGCTCTAACCAGGAAAGGCAATCAGCCGAGGCCGTAAATACCACCTTGCTAACAGCACAAGCGTGCAAAGCAGAATACTGAGTCATTTGCTTTATACTGTCTTTTAAAACCACCCTCTACTCCTCCACCCAAGGCCTCATATGCCTTTAGTCTTTGCCTACTATGGGAGGGACGTACATTTGGAAGTTGAACCTTGACACATCTCAAGTCTCAGACATTACCACACACTTTGATAGTCACTACAGTTTAACGATCTAAGGTACCAAGTAACTGAAGCATGTCCTACTTGTTTCTGTAAAATTAAAATTTAATTCCCTATTTTTACAGGTATCTGCTATCCCCATCATCATTTTGCGTATCCAAAACGCTTCCAAATTAGTCTTTTTGAAACATGCTGAGTCTGGCTCAATCTGTAGCACGCACGCTATATTGCCCCTCCACTGAAACTTGAGAATAGTGGTGTCTATTACATCTCATTAGCTCTAGATCTATTGCCCTCCTTTATAGCTACTGAAACAAACAAAAATGGATCATTTGACAACACAAAATAAGCCCATAAAACATAGATGAGACTTTTAGAATAAGACTCCCTTTGTTCACATTTCAGGTTCTGATGCCAGGCTAGTCATATTTTTCATTCATTCTTGGTACCGAGAGAGGGATCAAATGACTGGAAATTAAAGAGGCAATAGGAGGCATAGATCATTAAAGATGCATGAAGGAATTAAAATCCACATAGATTTCAGCAAGATCTATTCAAAAACAATTCTGTTCGCTTTTACATAACATTATACTGTATTTTTACTTATTCAGAATTGATTATCAAAAAGCAAGGTGCAAAGGAACACATTAGCCTTGGAAAAATATTTTATAAAATCATAGCACAATTAACTACTTCTCAAGCACATCTAACAGAGTTTATTTAAAAGTTTTCACAATTGCCTTTTAAGAAATTGCTGTGGTCGTTCACACACAATTAAAGCTCACTGTATACCTTTAGAATCACCAGCATCCTACCTGTGCTTTTTGATGCCATTAGACAGCGACTCCCCACTGCCACAAACTTTTTCTTCAGACATGCTTGAAGTTATCGTGTCTTTTGAATCCATGCTGTCCTCTAATGAGTATGCTGTTGTTGTCTCAAACCCACTTAATGATTTTTCAGATTCAGAATCTGCAGAAGAGCAGGTGCATGTTAATGAATCTACCGTCAAGGCTAGACTTCAGTCACTAACAGACCTTCTCTCCCCGTACAAAACTGAAACCTAAGTAGGCTGCTGTGTCCTGATGACAGCATCCATTTGGTAAGTAACTCGTACTGCCACAGGTCGCCATGGCTCTGCATAAAGATATAACCAAAGAGATTGCGCGATAAGCAAAAAGACAGTAGATTAGATATCACAGAGCCAAAACCTGATGTTTTGATTAAGCTGAAGCTACTGCAACTTGCTTAAGACAAGTGCCAGTGTCAAATGGATGCCAGTATCTTACCTAGCTAAATAACATTTAACTTAACACTCAAGTTCTGACTCTTCCTTCTATATAAGATTTCGGTTTGGTCTAACTTCTTGAAACTCTTGGTGCTTTTCAGCAATCTTCCCTTCCCAGCTTACTGTCGGTGCAGCAACGAACAAGAAGATATTATACGCAATGGATTACACTAGCCACGTAAGTCCCAGCAAAGTCTAAAAGATAAGATCACCAAGCAGCAAGATAAACTTTGTACTCTGGAAGGCAGGCTAACAGCACAATCTACATCACGTCTAAAGCTAAACACAAAACAAAACCCACCTCATTTCCAACTAGTGTTTTGGTTGGATAGCGCTTAACCCGCTCTGGAGAGGAGAGAGTGTCTTGCCCCACGTTAGAAAGTAAAAGTTTCCTGGCAAAAGGTTTTAGTTTTGTTTCGTGTTTTCCCCTTTTAAACTTAACGAGCTTGTCAAAGGATTTGTCAACTGCAAGTGCCAGGAAGCAAATGAACAGCTCAAGACAAGATGCACCAGAGTTCACCTCATTTGGGAAACCCTTTAGCAAAGGCCAGACACAACAATGAATGGTAAGCAGCTTAACCAAAGTGACCCTGCTTCTGCAGCTTCTGTTTCTAATTCTGATTCTAATACAAAAATTAGCAATCAAAACTTGCTGAGGGAGTAGTCCATACAGAAGAATATCTATAATAAGAATAGCTCAGTCACAATTGCCCATTGCCAGGTGCTTTCCTCTTTCCTCTTAAAAAGAGATGTTGGTAGCTTCTCCAGAACACGTTAGGTATACTTTGGTGAAGGGGACACTGACAAGCGGACTTTCTCCTAGATGCAGACCACACTAAGATCGAGAACAGGAAAAAAGAACCCCAGATTAATGGATAGGCTGTGCCACAAGGTCTGCATTCTCTCCAGAGAGAGACATTTAGAAACATAAAGCACATCATGGCTTTCATTAAAAACATCTAACCCCACCTTTGTAAAGACAGTACTGAAATTAAGCCAGTTGCTAGGGAATGAAAAGAACTGCCAGCTGGTACCGAGGATATGTTAAAAGAGCAGACTGACACTCCAGAGAATCTTCTCACACATTTCCCCAAATTTGTCAGTCTAGTTACATGCCAAGTTATGATATAACATATCAAGAGTTAGTTTGGCAGGTACTGTATATAGCAAGTAGGATAACAGCAAAAGGATTTTTTATTTTATGTAACAGATCTCTCCACGAGTACAGATTTCTCCAGAGAGCCTAAGTCCAGCTAGAGAGAAAACATTATTACATATCCGAATACCACAAAGGAAGAGAGACATAACACAATTTGGGCCTCAGCTTCCTGATCGCACTGTACAGCCAACACATGACAAGCTATAAATCCCTTCAAGGTAAGTAAGTACTATATCTCTCTATGGAAAGAGCTGCTCAACTGTGCCAACAGTTATTATGACAGGAGAACTGTGAAACAAACCCTGTAAAATACAGCAAGGAGTAACTGTACTGAAGCTCCTTTCTTTTTCAGTACTACCAGAGACTGTCTTGTTTCCAACTACAAGTCATTACAAGGTTTCCCACAGTTATTTCTTCAACTTGAGTTGCTGCACAGGGAGGCACAGGGAGGATTTCTAAACACTACATGTCACAGGCACACTCAGTTCTCCTACTCCTGGCCTTAGGTCACAGTGCCAAAAGACAACTACGATGAAGTAACCGACCTCAGCGCCCACAAGCCTTCTTTTCAGAGCTGGAGATGCTGAGCAGACAGCCTTTTCAGAGAACATGTGGCTTATGTAACGTAACAAAAACATACTACACAATGAAGAGCAGTAGAAGAATAAAAACCAGACACTGTTGTAAGTAACTTGCTCTAAAGATACCTCTCTCATTTCCCTGAAAAACAGCTCTCATTGAAAGAGTATGGCTACAACTGCTCGGCCTGTCAAAGGCCTCTGAATCTCCAGTCCCTAAACTCTTACAGACATGTATCTCTTCTGACCCATGGAGCTTAACAAGGCTTCAGAGGTGGGTTTTTTTTTTTTTTTTAAAGGTGTCAACAAGAACAAGCCTAGAATTGCCTTGTGAGCATGGATCAACAGGCAACTCAAACTGAACTTTTCTCAGTGTACTTGCAACTAACTCTTTCTGAATTAAGATTTACATACTCCCCCGTTACTGTAAAAAAAGATTTATATTCACAAGTTGTTACAGAGCAGCTGTCAAACAGATGACTAGAAGAAAATGAGATTTTCCTAGTGAACTGAAGGTGTGGGGGGGAGAAGAGGGGAGAGAAGGAAGAAGAGTCCCTGTTCAGAAGCCAAAATTTTCAAGGGATGCTTGAGGCAAGAGAAGGCTGACTAGGAAGTCCTCCAGCTCAGGAAACCACAAGTTATCAGGCTAACAGTAAAAATGCCAACTACATAACTACATTTTCCAGAAGTGGAAGAGCAGAAGGAAACGGCAGAAGCAGTGGTCACTTAACAACTTGTTCTCGAAGGAAAGTCATTTCCTATTGTTAACAACCGACAAGTCTTGGCTGCAGGAAAAAGAATTTGGCCAACGTGTCTAAGTAATAAGATACACCTGAGAAAGACTGTTCAACCACTGACAGGATTGGGATTCAACTCTGAGCAGGTGTTTCCCACTCACTCTCCTTCTGAGCTACTTAAATTCACTCTTCAAGCTATACTCAAGGCAAGAAGTCCACAGCCAGAGACATTCTTACATATGTACATACGTTGTGGTATATTTTTGGTACACATTCAAAAATGCTATCTGATCAACTCCAAATATGGAAGGAAAGAACAGTAAGTTCCCATACTACTTTGCACCTTTTTTTTTTTTTTTTAAAGTGAGCAGATAATTGCAGACAAACTAGGAAGTGAACAAAAGCAACAGAACTGGCACACTGCTTCTGGTACCATTTAAAAGCATTAGTTAGGAACACAAGATCCATTACTAATACATAATAGTTCAATCTGTGCTACAACAGGTTAGGTTTAATACAACCTAAATATGCCTGCAGCTATACAATTGCATTTACAGTAAGATTGCATCCATGTAGGAGCAATGCCCCCCCAACACAAAAGAAACTTTGTTTGCAGGAAGATCCCCGCCTCTCAGATAAAGCCTATTAATAGAATCAGGATTGCTGAATCTCTCCTCAAATTTGGTTTGCAGTCTGCAAATAATCAGGGACTTTTATCTGCCAGACAAAGTCAAGTATCTTCACCCCTTAGTTCTTGGCCTGCTTAGCCATTTTTCAGCATTGACGATGGACTCTGGATTTGTATTCCGTTTTCATGCGCTTCCCGAGGTCTGCATGCTTGATCAAAGCTTGTAATAAGTCATCTAGCTCTCCGGAAGATGCCATCAGTCTTAAATTTGCCACCTTGTATAATGCTTCTTCCCTCCGCACATCCTTTGGCACATTTTAAGCATCCAATCCTGCAACAAGAGCTCCATAGCTCCGTTTGCGATCGAGTTTTACTACACGCTTCCACCACACCCAGAATGAGAGAATCAGTGCAGCCAGAAGCACTGTTAACTGACCTATTGCTATCAGAGTTCAGAGTAGTAACACATTTAGATTTGCTGACTTCAACACTGGATATCAGCCCTTTGTAACACAAAGTTACTCCCATTTCCTGCAAGTTCTTGCTTTCAAGTTCAGTGTTTACTGGCCTCCTATTATAGGGATTTAAAAATTGTAACAACAACCAGAAATCACTCACATCAGCCTGTCATCTAAAAAGAGGGAAGACTTCAGAAAATAAATAACTTCAGTAAGCAGTCTTACCACACTACAATCATTTTCTTCACCCGAGTTTTGGAAGAGATAGAGGATGTTTCTTTAATAGCGCCCACGATTTCTACAAATCAAATTACACAACACAAACTTACCAGCGACCAGCTTAGTCTACATCAACATTAACAAACAGGAACGGCTCAGTAGGAACAGATTTGTAAGCTAAACAGATGGTGCTTGGGACTTGACAATTGAACTAGGTACGTTTCTGGTGGGCTTTTTTCTTCAGATTAGCTCTACTCTGCTATCATGGACTGAGTGTCCAGTAGCAACTGGAACACATCTTCTGATTTACCTGCCTTCAGCAGTCTGGTTCATGCGCTCAGATTGCTCTACAGTGCGGCCCAGAGCATGAAACATGGGGACAAGAAGCTGCTGCTGTACACATACACTTCTTGTTCAAAAACCTGTCTGAAGAAGTCTTGTATTGCTCTGCGTTGTCACAGCTGGCGATACTTTTGTTGAGAGTAAACAAGCAGAAGTGTCTAATACACAGAAAACACCCCTCCCCCCCCCAAAAAAAAAGCTGCAGTAGCACTTACTTTCAACCTGCCAAGTCAAAGCTATTCACTCTTCAGCTCAAAGTGCAAACTTACTTACGTAATGCTCTCACTTCTATAAAGGCACTCCCACAGAAAAGATTTAAAAATTCAAAAAACTAACTAGAAAAAGATGGTGTCCTAACAGAAAAAATACTCTGGAAGTAGCAACCTTTTCCAACTGACAGACATTATGACTTGTAATGACACCCTGTTAAAATACATTGATAAGCGTTCACTCAATCTCCCATACAGGCTAGTAAGCCGATTCAGGAATCTATTTATTCAGAATCTGTATCATTGAACTTGTTTAGCCAAATCTTTAAAGAACTGAAAATCTCAGCAGTTTAGACTTTTGGAATTAAAAGTTTTTGGCTTCTGACAATTGGGTTTAGTCACTACTTTCAATTATGAAGATGTATTTACAATCATATCCTGTCTCCTTAGCCCAAGAAGGGAGCCCCACATCCACGAACTCGGAGTCAATGTCACATCTCCTGACCCTGCTGCTCTCATTACATTCTTGGCATACTGTCCTTCTAAGTTAAGACTCCAAAGACTGTCAACACGGCAGAAAAATAAGAGGGTTAGAATGTGTATAATCAAGATTCTAGTGATTAGCTAAAAAATGAACATGACAAAAAACTAGTTCTTTTTGCATTTAAGCTGAAAGTCGAAACATGCCACCAGTGGTCAGGAAGCCAAGCCACATTTTCCTTTCTCTAGGCAGGAACAGAGTGCTGTTCCTCCAAATATGTGCCTTCAGACACAGAGAGGACCCAAATCACTGCAAAACTATGGCATCTAGTGCAAGTCTGAAGAAGTTTGACAGAGTTAATAAAGTGAGTCAGTCCTGAAAAATTATTTAAGTTGCAATCCAGATGAATTATTTCTCAAAGAGAGAACTGAGATATGCTGAATTGATGCGATTTATTTGCAGCTTGAAGGAGCATATATACCACCACTCCCAACTAGAAAGATGGTTTTGGACACTTTTATTCAAGATGAAGTTTTAAACACTGGGTCAGTTAGGAGATTTACAGACTAATAGTTTTTTTTTTAAAGCTAACCGAGTACTCTCTCGTATACACAAACGGAGCAAGCCTGGCTGGAGAGACTACATTCCAGCAGCACCAGAAAACAGCAGTTTTCTGCTTTGTTGCAACAAGCAAAAGAGCCCAAGGCCTTTAAGCAGAGTAGTTCCTTTGCTTTTGGTGGAGGAACCCGTTTCCTTAATTTCCTCTCTCTGTTGAAGACTTGATACATTTGTTATTGTGCCAAGAAGCAAAGTCTTCTGTTGATTTACTATGTTCCTCTGCTATATACCTGAGAATTTGAACGTAGACTCTACTTAGCCTGTTTTCATCCAGTGCTTCGTTAAGCTGTGCACTGCAGTACACAGCAGTCAAAAGCATCAGATAGTTAAGTCTGCAAAACAAGTAACCCCATTTGTACTTGCTCATTAAGTTTGCCTTCACAATCTAATTATCTATGCTAATATATTATGCTACAGTTAAACTATGCTTACACTCAAGTTTTTCCAGATCCTGTTAGTAGTTTTAGCAGTTTTTGTATTTTTAGTCAGCTGTGCATTGCCGGATCACCCAATTAGAGCTGTTATTGAGCTGCACTATGTACATCCTCTCTCTATAAATGCATGTTGTAATCATCCTACGCAGCTTAGCGCTTTCCAAAAATCATTCTTTACATGTTTTGCATATGAAAACGTGCAAGGTGCTAAACCAAAGAGCAGACACCGAAAAGGTGTTTTGAGGAGGCACAGAAAGTTATGATTGATTCTTTTCTTCCACCCATGACACACAAGATATACAGAGGCGAAATAAAACAAGCCTTTCTTAACCTTCTTTACCCCTTAAAACTAGTGCTTGTTATGGATTGCTCTTAAGAACAAAACAAACAAACAAAAAAGTATACATCGCAAGGGAGAAAGTAAGTCAGAAGATTTCCTGCTGCATTTACATCTCCTAAAATAGGACTCGTAAGTTTTGCTATTTAAAAAAAAAAAGGGTGTAGACATCCAGGCAATCAGATCCTTCATGCCTAGGGCCTGTAACTTTCTGTCCTGCTACGGTAAAACAACACAGTTCTACAAGTGAACTGAGGAAGGTTTACACTCAGGCATAATTTTAGAAGCCCACTCACACAGCACAGTATTCTCCTAAAGTTAGTTCCATGTTGGAAAGAGATTTCACTTAGAGCAAGACCATTCCCCCAGCCCTTGCAATACGATCACGACGTACATGCTTGCTACAGGCTGGTATTCTGGACATCCTTACTTACCTGAAACAGCATCATAGAACTGCTCTTCACTGATGATGCTTAGAGGCGGAGATCCCTTCACTAGAGACTGCTCTAGTTCATGGTGTTCAGTGGCTAGCGTCTCTAATGCTTCTGACAAGATCTTGTTTTTCTCTTGCTCGTGCTCCAGTTTCAAATTCCTCACCTATAAGTAGATACATGTATGAATAAAATCTCATCTCTCCGAAGAATGCGTAGCTCAAAGCTATTCAGAAAATAGACAGTAATAAATAAGTAACTGGTTCAAAGGCAAATGGCTGAAACTGAAGCCACACGGATTAACGAGAATATAATAATATTTCTGTGACCACAGTGTTGTTATATCTCAGCATTTTCCAGTAACCGAGAAGTCTGCCAAATAAAATTTGATAGAATAAATCAAAATTCCACAAACGAATACAAGCCAGTCAGATAACTGCACCTTAAGTCTGAACGGAAACATGTGCAACTCTTTATTTGGACGACCTTAACTATGAAGCCGTAGTGATCAGTTTCTACACGTACCAGGCTACTTCTACTAGTCGGCTCTAATTTGGGCCAAGAAGCATCATCTGAATTGAATTACAGAGCAAATGTGAATGCCAGCTACAAATAACTACAGCTGAACTATTAGCTGAAAACATGCAACTCTGAGGATTAGAGAAGGAGGTTAAGGAAGAGATCCCTCTACTAGCTGCTGGTTTCATCTTTGATATAAACAGCTTTCCCTCCCCACTCCCATAACAGCCTAGAGAACAGCCAGAAACTGAAAAGAACACCAGCCACCACATGGTGGAAGCTTTTTTTTTTTTTTTTTTAATAAAAAAAAGTCCACAAATGCAACCAGTGCCAGAGAGGACGATGTTAACTGCATGTGGAGTCCAAGACTAGTAACAGTAGAGTAACATGTCCTTCCTATTTCATCCTCCTTTTTTGTCTGTGCTTTCCCGCCTCCTCTTTCTCCTAGAGGAGCAGAGAGAATTTTTAAATGAAAGACTCCTGAAGACCCTCTTCTCCCAACCCAGGAAGGCTGTCATGTGCCGTTTTCCTCCAATCTCCAAATGACTTACTCTCTTCCTCCCCCTTCTTACTCCTGTTTTAAAAGGCTTTCAGCACCCCCAACTATTGCCTTGTTCTCTAGTTCATTCTCAAAGGTCAGTTTACAACTCTAATCCCCCCTCCACTAAGAACATGCAAGGACATACCAATTAATGTCTTGAAACAGTTACAGGGACAACTTACTTTCTTAAGCAAATTATACATTTACCACAGTTGCCTTTTCGAATCTAATTTAGGAATTGTTCGTATGTCATTTTCTGGTTACTTTCTACATCATAGCTTTACTTCAAGGAGTGTTAACATAAGCAACTACATTTATAAGGCAACTCTCAGAAAAGTTCTAATCTGATAGTTCTAGATCTAATAATAGCTGCTATTTCCCTACGGAGGCTTCAGCCGCCTCAGTTATAATAACCACTGAAATAGTAGATTCAGAACCTGGCACAAACGAGAGGGTGAGAATTTGGAGGCTATAAGGGAAACTTGCCACTTCCAGAGAAGTCTCTACTCTGGTAGCAGTATATCCTCTGGAGAAAGACCTGTGGAGGAAATTTTCACCCCCTCAGTTGTGCCTAATACTGCATCAGCTGGTTCTGCTGCCAGGCTCTGAGTGTAGAGGGAAAGTCCAACTACACGATTATTAAAACAAATAAAATTGGGTTGCTAATTGAAAGCAATAAAATCACTAAGTCAGTTACTGCCCAACAGTTCTACCTTGAACAAAACGAAAGAAATCTAGACAAGTTATTGCCCCTTTTGGTTACAGTTAGCTTTGAGGGTTCCAACAAGGTCAATTACTGCAATGTTTCATAGAAATCACATGTGCCCCATCACGAGAGAACTGGTATTAAGTAGTTTGCACAGAGAAACGCAATCCCTGCCGAAAACAAATCAGTTAAGGAATTGCCTATTTAGAGAAACAACATTTGTATTTCATACACTTGAGGGAAGAAGGGTGAGGACTGAAACCAAAGTGGTGCTTTTCATTATTATTAAGCAGCAGCAAAATGAAACCAATTATAAAAACTGTATTTGCAATTTTAGACTAAAAACAGAAGAGTAAGAATTAGATGCCCTTATCCTCTGTTCTGTTTTGATAAGTAATTTAGAGTGACGTTCAATATTAAAAATTTAAGTTTCAATGCTATTTAACAGTAAACAGAAAGGAAAATTAAAGTATATCTAACAAAATCGAGATGAATCTTTCCTTGCATTCACCAAGCACAGTAGTGTAACTAAACAGGTAATATGAATACAGACTTGAGACCAAAAAAATCTGTACAAATTTTCTTGAAGTTCCTTTGTCCTTTTGTTACGTAGACTTATTTATAATTGCAGAAAGTGGGATGAAAACAAATTCCCCATTTGGAAAATAAACAGCCAGCCTAACAGTAAGGTTCATTTTCCTATGTGCGTCCAGATTTCCTAGTTGCCAAACACTTATTCAGTAAAGCACCTATACTACTAGTAGGAAGGAAAAAGCTTTTGATCTCTTACATAAGGAAACAGAGACCAGAAATAAAAGAAAATACACCGAGACCAAAGTTCATCGCTCAAAACTTAAAAACGATCATTCATACCTGAATGATCTCATTTTAAAGCCGCCTTAATTCAATACTTGGGGGCAGGAGATGAAAGTCCGATACAAAACCTTTGCCGACAGTACTCAATCGGTAGGAGTGCCTATACATTCAGCAAACGCAGAGGTGCCCACAAGAGGTCCAGCAGTCTAGAACTCATGGCAGGATAAGAGTTTACATGAGCAGCTCTGAAGAGGCAGTGGTCTGCAAATACTCTCTATAACAACAGTAACTGCATCCTTAACAATCAAAACAATTCAGTGGTGTTGATATGAGAACCAAAAAAAAGATGGTTCTACTACCATTATTTGACTGATTTCACTTGTAAAAAAACTTGTTACTTGCTAGTACCATCTTCATGTAACCTACTTAAATATAGGCATCACTGGAGAAATAATCTTGTTTGAAATAAGCATACTAAATACACTTTAACTTTTTTGTAAACCAGCTTTAAGTAAGTGATATCACCATTTTGTCTTCTTATCTTATTATTGACCAGATACGTCTCTTAAATTCTTCCTGCAGTAATTTGACCGCAGAGGCAGGATTTTTTCTTTTCCAGAACTATGGGATGCAGTCTCCATTCTTTCAAGCATAATAAGAAAGATTTCTATCCAGATATATTTGCAGTATTAGTAACGGAGAAGTTTCTTGAACAATATCATCGACTAATCAATATACAGGTTTTCCCAAAATGCAAAGAGTGGACTGCTCTCTATTTTAATTCACAAGACAAGGCCAACATTTCAAGGTCTGAGGTGAATTATTCTATGTTCCTTGCTATTCTATCAGCATTTTGCAGCTGACAATTCAGCTTCATCCCTTTTCCCATCAAAGCTTTTTCTTCCCCATCCTGTCTTTCTTCAGTGTTCCAACATAGAAACAATTGCAAGAGTACAGAACGAACGGCCAGGTTAGTTTTAAAAATAATTCTTCACATAAAATCTTTAGAACATACATATATAAAGCAGAAAGATGACTACAAACAAAAAAAACGACCCCCAAAAAATTAGCTTTTAGAAGCATACGCATTTTGATCTATTAGAATGGAGGCAGATAGACCAAAACATTGCAGTGAAATATTATCTGATTTTGTGAAGTTGCATTACCTGAATGCCTCACTGTGTTTTATACACAGTGGTATAAACACTTAATTAAAAATAAGGTAGTAAACATCATACGAAAACGCTACAGACGTCACTATATACACAGCTCCGGAAATCCAATCTAGGCACATTCAGAAAAATCCCAGACGAGGTGTTCTATTGATAGCCTGTGTAAGGCACATCTTGTGCTATAGCAGTGGTTTCCATACTTTTTGTAGTTGTGGCTGAGCTGTGAAAATGACAGATGGTAATTCACATTTTACGGGGTTTAGCTCCTCATCCTCCAGCTATGGAATAGCTGTCATCTCTTTTTTTAATCCCTGCAGCTGATCCCCGCAATGCCAGTGTCACCATCGGCTCCGTAAGCCCTGGGCAGAGCTGGCAGAGGCAGCAGCGCAGAGTGCCCCAGCGAGCCCTGTGCAAAGCCAGGTGAGGTCTCACGGGGTTCATCTGCGTGGGCTTCGCACCCAACCCTTGTTGGGAGCTATTCTGCACAAGAGCAATTGCAGTAGATCAAAAACGTTGACTTGATATGTTTGTACTGTTAAGATGATGACAGTTAAGATCAGTCTTGTTTTCACCTCTAAACATAACGTTATGATAGTGAAACATCAGACTTACAACTGCTGTAAATCTGGTGGAAACTACCTAGCTTTGTCTCACAGAAATAAACAATCCTTCAGTCATGAGAACCACGGCTAGAGAATCACAGAATCACAGAAGACAAGACTATACAACTACAGACACAACTATAACCTGATACACTGACACAGAACCGCCAAGACTTCAGTATTTAGATCAGTGCAGCAATTTATTTATTTTTCAAATACTTCTCCAACCGGAGATTTGATAACCAAGTTGAGGTAACTGACTTCACTTACAGTTTAACTAAACAGGGAGTCCATCTACAACAGTTTTCTGTAAATGTTAGAGTCCTCCAGCCTGTTAAGCACCAAACTGTAAATTTAAAGAGCATAATCCAGTTATTTTAGCAGTCAGGCTACAGCTCTATTCCCCCTTCCCCCCTTTTTTTCCTTTAAAGGAAAGCAACAGGCTATATGCAGACACTTTGACTGTCCATTCATGCTACCAGAAATCCTGTTAATCACAAGAGCATGATTCAAAAGGTAATTCCTTCACTGCATAATACTGGCAGGAAAAAAAAATTTCAAAGTTCACATGTCTGTTCCAAAATATCAAACAGCTTCTATGGGCGTCACTAACACCAGTCCCATTCCTTTCTGCATCCTCAGCTCTCCTGTCATAGGTGGGAAACTAGTAAAGTGGACCAGAAGACCTCCTGGCCATCTCCCTTTTTTTAAAGCCATAAGACTTGAAGTGTATCTACACAGACTGTAACTAAGGCTCTCTTCTGTCCCCCTTGAAGGCATCTCAGTACAATGCACAAAATACTTGCTTTG